AGGGAAAGAGGCCAATGAAGTCGGGACCGGGGCCGGTTGACACTCCTGAGGATGGGGCAGGGGCCGTGGACTCAACCTGTTTGCCCTGGTGCACCGTACGAATTAGACCCCTAATATGGTCCCCGGAACCCCGCTAAACATTGTGAATATTTATACCGTGTATATAGTTTTTACCGTGTATATAGTTTGTACCGTGTAAATAGTTTTTGTTATGCATACTGTGTATACTGTTTTTGTTCAAATAAATTGTTATAATTAAATAAAAATTAAATATAACCTTGAAGGTTCCCAGGGGCAGATAAAGTGCCACGTTCCATCAGCACCGGGGAGGCACTCTCCTTGGTGCTGAACCCTGTGATGAGCGCTCAAGTGTTGGCGGAGGAGGTGTAAGCCAGAGGAGGGTGAAAAAAAGTTTGAACCTCCAGCCCAGAAGGGGGGTGGTGGTGCCAATAAGAAGGCCGAATTTGGATGCTGATGGGCGGACATAAAAGCACCACAAAATCCACCCCCCTTTAGGGTCACCAGGGGCACGAGGTTCTGGTGGGTGTGAATACCTGGGTTTAGTCCGCGGGGGAGTGCTTAACTGCGGGGGCCCGGGGACTCACGGTGTGCAAGGTTATGGAGGTGCCACTGTTATGGGGACATGCTGGGGGTCATTAGTCCGTCCTTTGGGGGTCTGTGAGCGGGCAAAGAGAGGTGATTTTCCCGGTCTCTGTCCTGGAGGTCTGAAATAAACAGAGTCCCCATTTCAGGGACACCTCTTGGAGGTCTCTAGGCCGTCCTTTGGGGGTCTGTAGGCCGGCAAAGAGACGGGACTTTGCCGGACTCTCTCCTGGAAGTGTGAAATAATTAGAGTGCCACATTTTGTAAATAGTATAATACCTCCAGGGTGCATAACTGCACTTTACAAGCCAGGGAAGGTGCCTGAATCCTGGGTATACATTTTGTAAATAGTATAATACCTCCAGGGCGCATAACTGCACTTTACAAGCCAGGGAAGGTGCCTGAATCCTGGGTATACATTTTGTAAATAGTATAATACCTCCAGGGTGCATAACTGCACTTTACAAGCCAGGGAAGGTGCCTGAATCCTGGATAAACATTGTTTAATTGTTTAAGTGTTTTTAAATGTATGGAACAGTGTTTTATCTCTTTCAAAACTCTCCCATCATTGGCCGGATACATGGGGACGATTTTATATTCACTATGACCGTTAATATTCCAGTGAGACGAAGTACGTCCAGTGACCGGACTGATCCCATGTTAATTTTGTCCGAAAACCAGAGCATTCCCTTACCCACACAAGGCTCCTGGACCTGATGGCATCCCTGGCCGTGTTCTCAGGGTGTGTGCAGTTCAGCTGGCAGAGGTGTTCACAGACATCTTCAACAGGTCCCTGCTGCAGTCTGTAGTCCCCACATGTTTTAAACACTCCACCATCATTCCTGTCCCCAAAAAGACAAAAATCACCTGCCCCAACGACTACCGCCCAGTAGCACTCACCTCCATCATAATGAAGTGCTTTGAGCGGTTAGTCAAATTATTCATCACCTCCTCCCTCCCTGAATCTCTGGACCCCCTGCAGTTTGCCTACAGAGCAAACAGGTCCACAGACGACGCCATAGCCCTCACCTCCACACTGCCCTCTCACACCTGGACCCGAAGAACAGGAACACATATGTGAGAATGCTGTTCATTGACTACAGTTCAGCATTCAATACCATTGTGCCCTCCAAGCTGGCCATCAAGCTCAGAGATCTCGGGCTCAACAGCGCCCTCTGTGACTGGATCCTGAACTTCCTGACGGGCAGACCCCAGGCAGTGCGGTTGGGAAACATCACATCCTCCACCCTGATTCTAAACACCGGTGCCCCTCAAGGCTGCGTGCTCAGCCCTCTCCTCTACTCCCTGTTCACCCACGACTGCGTGGCCACACACAGCTCCAACACCATCGTGAAGTTTGCTGATGACACGACCGTCATCGGCCAGATCATAGACGATGACGAGACGGCGTACAGAGAGGAGGTCGAAAACCTGACATCTTGGTTCCAGGATAACAACCTCCATCTCAACATCAGCAAAACAAAGGAGCTGATTGTGGACTACAGGAAGCAGCAGGGAGAGGGACACGCCCCCATCGCCATCAATGGGACTACGGTGGAGAGAGTCAAAAGCTTCAGGTTCCTTGGGGTCCACATCACTGAGGACCTGACATGGTCTCTTCACACCACCACCATCATCAAGAAAGCTCGACAGCGGCTCTTCTTCCTCCGCAGGTTGAGGAGGTTCAAAATGGATTCCAGGATACTCTGCAACTTCTACAGGTGCACGATAGAGAGTATCCTCACTGGCAGCATGACGGCCTGGTACGGCAGCTGCACCGACCTCGATCGTAAGGCTTTACAGAGGGTGGTGAAAACTGCACAGCACATCACCAGGACGGAGCTGCCATCCATGGAGGACCTTTACTCCCAGCGGCTCAGGAAGAAATCACTACGGATTATCAAAGACCCCCATCACCCCAGCCACAAACTGTTCTTTCTGTTGCCGTCTGGCAGACGTTACTGCAGCATCCTGGCAAGGACAAGAAGATTCGGAGACAGTTTCTTCCCGCGGGCAGTGAGACTGTTAAAAAATTGAACTGTTGAAACAACATCAAACATTCATCTGCTACTCAGTAGTATGTATCTAATACCTAATATATCATTCCAATAACTTGTATATAGACTCGTACTGCACTATTCCACATCATAACTTTATTTCATTTTTATAACTTTCATTTTTATAACTATTATTATTTTTGTATTGCTCATGCTCTTATTGTTATTATGTTATTATGTTGCATTGTTGGAGAAGCCTGTGACATAAGATTTTCAACTGCATAATTACTCTGTAGCTATGTCAGATTGACAATAAAGAACCTTGAACCTTGAACCTTGAACCTTGACATCCCGCGTATGCAAATCTGACAGTTCAAGCGCTAGCCAATCAAACCGCGTGTATGCTGAGAGAGCCAGACCGCAGTTCATTTCCTCATATGCCAAAAAATGGAGGAGAAAATAATCGTAGCGGTAGGGAATCACCCGGTGCTTTCAGTCCCTGTTCACCTACCCGGATACAAACCGGAGGAGCCAGGCTTGGAGGGAGGTGGCAGAGACAGTGGGTGAAACTGGTAGGTTTTCGCCTGTTTGGGGAGTTTATATCCAGTGTACTTCGTTTGAATGGACAGCAGGCATAGACAGTATATTTAGCCACCATGCAATGTTGCATAAAATAGCACCATAGACATTAATTAAAAATCGCTTTTTAGACATTAATGTCTATGGTGAGATTCATACACGGGAGTCTTTTTAAAGCCTTTTTACCCCGCTGCAAACAGAAACCCCCCCCCTTCCCATCACAAACTTTACACAGACCCCCCCTTCCAATTATCAACTCCTGTCTTGTTTCCGCAAACTCTTGTGTCCTGCAGCAGCTAAACGTTTTGCAAGCCCCCGTTCGTTTAGTACCTAAAATAATAGACATCGCTTTTTCCAGCTGACAAACCCGACTTTCTGGTCACTTCTTCAATTTTCCAGCCCTTGGGGAGAGACACGGGAGATTCATGTGATTGGTTGTTGGTCGTGTTGCTCGCGTAAACTCCCCAAGCTCAAGACACGCCCACCGCCAAGCGGCAACGCACGCCGCCGTGTGTAGGCTGCGTTACAACCGAGGGAGAGGTGAGTGAGGCGCAGTGGCTGCTAAAGCCGGTCAGGGACAGTGAGGTGGAACGGTGTGCTGGACGACAGTGCGTGCATACATCGGGGCTCCGCCCACTGTACCCATAGAGTCCAGTAGAGGGCGGAGCCTGTGAGAGATATAACGCCGGGTTACGTATTGTAACCCTTGTTATATTAACACAGGCGGAGCCCTCTACCTTGGGGGCACTGTCTGTCCTATACCGCTCGCTGAAGAGTGGTGTAGGATGGTGGTCAGGAGGCGAGGCCTCCTTTTATGCGGAAGTGAGATGCGCACGCATTCAGGTAGGCCCGCCCCGGGGCCGGCTACGTCTATAGAAATCTCAGTAGGTGAATGCTTGCATGATAAGGTAGTACCCATAGAGTCCAGTAGAGGGCTCCGCCTGTGTTAATATAACAAGGGTTACAATACGTAACCCGGCGTTTCATACTATAAAACAGCTGTGGGCAGCAGATACTGTGAGAATCACTGACATGAATTCACAGATCACTGCAGACTGGTTTACTCACTCCCCTGTTTGGCCGAATTATGCTGGAGTGTTAATTCCATGATGTGGATATGCTTGACACACTGTAAAGCCCCCTAGGACAAATGTCATTTGTGATATTGGGCTATATAAATACAATTGGATCTATTCATAGATTGTCCAACCACAGGTGCGCTCCAGTACTTAAACACATAGCCCCCAGTGCTGGAAGAAGTATTCAGATGCAGTTAAAGTACAAATACATTATTGTCAAAATACTACAAGTCCTGCATTCAAAATGTTACTTAAGTATAAGTACACAAGTATTATCATCAACATGTACATAAAGTATAAAAAGTAAAAGTGATCATTGTGCAGAAAAATGCCTTTATGTGTATTTAATATTTAATTATATTTATGTGACATTTCTAGATAATATTGTTGCAGTATTTTAGTGACTTTTCTAAAATGTTTAGATAATTTGACTCTTGTTTGTGACTTAAAGAGTAAGTCCACTAGTTTAATTTTTAAAGATGCTTTTTGTTAAAAGCAGCGAAAGCTGTTGTCACTACAAATGTAGTGGAATAGAATAACATGAATTGCCTTTTAATTATAGTGGAGTAGAAGTAGGTTTAACCTTTAGATTGGATCATGTTCCTGGAGTCATTGCAGTTTCACAAATGAGCTGTTTAAACTGATGCTGGTGTGTTTCATACAGAGAGAAGGAGGGGTTGTTCCTCAGATTCATCACAACAACATTATTTATATTTCAAGATTGAAAAGGTTTAATGTCATATAGGTATAGCAATAAAAGGTTAAGCAATGCATACAAAATATATAAGGCTTTACTTTGATAAAGAAAGTGTAACCATATGGTTAGATATAAGACCTTTCTAAAAAAGGACTAGAAAAGAGTCTGGAAATGATTTATGTTCACTTTTCATTCAAATTCTGTTCATCTTTAAATAGCTTCCTACCAACTTTGTGACATTTGTAATACAAAATAATATTTGACTCTTTATTACAAGTATGAAGCGCTGACAAAATTCCTCAACCACATTGTTGGACTACAAAGAGCTTTTACTTAAAAGTGATTAGAGCATTTACGATATAGAGGATTTATGTTTAAAAATGTGAATTATACATACTTATATTTGTCATAGCAAAGGATCCAAACCTGGGTCGCTCTCCTACGATATCAAATATTCTTCTGCAAAACACATTTTTCTTTCATTTGTAACATTTGCATTAAAACACCGTGTTTTCACATCATCTGTCCACAAAGTAAAGGCTGAGTGGTTGGTCCGGTACCAGAACAGTGCGGTTGATGCATTTCAACTCTCCCATCGTTGGGTCTGGCTTGATTTCAAAGTGCCTGATTACCTAGAGGAAAAATAAAAATATGAAGTTCAGACTGAATAAGGCCATGGGCAAAACACAAATAAAAAACTAACTGTTTCTCTTTCAAATGTGTTAATAGGAACCTTATTTCACCCCAAAAGACGCTGTTCATGTCTTTTTTCAAAGCACTGTTTCTCTGTTGTTTGATGGCATGGAGCTCTACATCCAATCATGTGTAATCTGTAGATGTTGTAAAGGGATTTCCTGTTAGTCACTTACCCGAAACAGAACCATATACATCTCTAGCTCAGCAATCCTCCGACCCACACAGCCCCTCACTCCGAAGCCAAAAGGGATGGAGGCAAAGGGGTTGGGCCTCACATGTCCGTCACGGAGCCATCTCTCCGGTTTAAATGTGAACGGCTCTGGGAATGTCTCCTCGTCATGGCTGATGGCATAGTGGTGAAGCGTGAAAGCGGTCTGGAGAGACAACAGTCAAGAAATACAACAATGAAACTCTGAACAAGTACTCAAAAAGTACAAATAGTTTAATAATGGTTAAAAATACAAAGCAGACCTACTTTCTTTGGAAATGTATATCCACCAATAGCAACACTCTTCTCTACAATGATCCTTGCATTCACAGGAACTACAGGGTACATCCTGCAGAACAGGAATAAATCAGGTCATTTGGTTTAGGCTTGTTCTTGTTGCATGTAGGAAAAGTAAGAATGTACAAAGATACAAGGCTGATGGCCTTTCTGGAAATTGATTTCATCTTAGAACCCATTGGTGTGACAGGAGCAACGGCTCATATTTCTGGGATTCTAGTTTGGCGTGCCGATAACAGGGTTAAGAATGCATTTCCTCAAATGGCTAATGGCGCGTTTCCACTACATGGCCTCGCTCGGCCCCGCTCGGTATGGCTGGGCCTCGTTAGGACTGGCTCACTTTATGGCGCATTTCCATTACAGTTTAGGAACTGGGGCAGTATCTATAGTAACGCAGTGTAGGCGGAGCCGTGACGTGATCTTCAGAGGACCCCAGAAAAACAACACAGCCGTTAGCTGTTAGCACTCAGAGCTCACAGCTCCACATATATGTTCAGAAACTAGACAAAAGTTAAACAAGTACAAACCACAGACTGCCTGTGTCATGGTGAATACAGTCGCTGCTTTATTTATGTCTGTATAGGCCGTTGTTGTGAGTGTGGACGGTCGGAGCATATACTGCGTTAGCTTAGCCGATCTCCATTTAGACAACAAGCATTTTAAAAGGTTTTTCACCTGCCGTCTGTCTGCAGACTTGACAAAGCATTAATTCATGGTTTTTACTAACCGGTATCAGTATGTTGTTACTTCGGCATCATTTTGAAACGTGTATTACAATTAAATCACGGTCAAATATGTCCATCTTGTTGTAGTTGTATCCCCCTTGCCAGCGACGCTCTCTCTAGTTTAGCATACTCAGCCCGACTCAGCCTCGTTGTCTCTGGCCCTGGACCCACGATTTTATGAGGCCAGAAAAACTGTGAATTAGGACCCGCCGGCCGGTACTAGGCCAAGTGGAAACGCAACCAAAGACGGGCCGCTGACGTCACAGCCCTCTTAAACCGGGCTGCGCGCTGTAGTGGAAACGCGCCATAATTGAGCCTGGCTACAAAAGTCTGGGAATCCACATTGAACCCCAAGTGAAAATTCCCAACTTTGTAGCATAATTATACATGTTTACAGGATGGGAAAAAGGTTTTTGGGGTCTATAGCTAATATAGTCTTATATAACTAGTTACTGTTCTACTGCATTACCCGGACCTGCCTCATCCCCGCAAACAGCGAGGATGAGGCAAAGGCTTTAAACAGCTCTTCATATACCCAAGGGTGACATCCGGGAGACTACGTGCATATTTTATACAGTCTATAGTTGAGACTTGAGAATGGACTTGCAGATAAGAAACACCTATTTTAAAGTCGCCGGTTTACACCGTATTTACAGTTAATTTTGTTATCTACAAAAAGCTAAATCCTTGTCAGATAGCCGATGGGTTCTAAGATTGCATTTTGTCTGACACGTTCAACATCTCAGGCACACTAAAACAGGATTGGTTACATGCCCTACAAAAAGACTACAAGGAAAGCATGTCACGTCCAATACCAACATCCTGTCCTGTTACCAGCAGAATTTGTTTTCATATGCAGATATGTGTTTCTATGAACCTTCAGCCATCATGAAACCAAAACCAGTCTCACCTCAGTGCCTCCCTGATAACAGCCTTTAAATATGGCATCCGAGTGACCTCAGCAGCGGAGGGGATCCGCTTTGCTGGCACCATTGTGGACACTTCTTCATAAAGTCTGTCCTGGGTGTGAGGGTTCCTGGACAGCAGGTAAAAGGTCCATGTGAGGGTATTGGAGGTCTTAAGAATAAAGAAGAAAAGGCATTTAATAAACGGGCATAAAGATGCACACCTGTAAAAAAGGTGTACTAACATTACAAACATTTTGAATTTGAGTGGAAGCCCAGCTTAGTTTCTGATATTTGACATGTTTTTTTCAGAATGTCATCTTTGTGTCATACCGTGTCCATCCCAGCTAAAAGGAGCTCAGTGATGCTGCCATACACGTCTTTGGTGCTCATCTGAGTGTTTGACAGGAGGTATGTTAGGTATTCCCCCTCCACTTCCTGGTTGTTCTCCACACGCTGCTGGATGACCTCCATCTTTTTGTCAATCAACTTTTTACCTAAAATAAGTGCAGAGTTTCATGTGTTATTGTTGTCCATGTAAGCTCTAACAACTAAAAGCTCCGGCTATCCGTTTAGCTTCAGCTGAGGTATTTGAGAAAGATGTTTGGTTTATCTTTAGCCTGATTCTTATCCAGAGGACCTGCAAAGAAAATGTTAACATGCATTTACATTGAATTATATGACATTACTGCTACTTCCTCCACGCTACTGTATCTTTAATAAAAAGTGGGCGCAGATTTAGTGAAAGCTGCCAGGTAATGTTAGTATTGATTACATAATTGGATTTGTCCAAAAAGCCCTGCTTAGCCTTGCACCACATTAACCAACACACTCTCACTCCCTAAACGTCCAGGAGCGACGCTTGGTCAGAGTCCCGTGGCGTGCAGTTGGGACGCCAACTGATTGCAATGTATTCCCATCGGCGGCGGTATTTGACGCTCAGGGAAGCACCGCATCGGTCCATGTCGGCGGCATTTAAAGGCAATGTGAGCGTCCATTCCCATTGGATAACGGAGGATTTTACACCCGGAAGTAACTATTCTCCTTACTGTCGATTTATTTTACATTGATATCTGCACTACTCATCAACTCAAAAACACCAGATTATCCTTGTTAATTACACAACATTGATTGGTTTAAATTGTGTGCAATGCTTTTGTGTTTCCTCCTTCGATTCGGAGAAACAAATATTTTTTCTGAGTTTAGGATGGCAGAAGACACTACACTACCCAGAATCCTCAGCTATCGTTTGGGACTACACCATGTGCTTTGTTTGACAAACCCCGTGATCAGTTCTCAAGCTCTGTGATTGGATGTTGGAGTGGCAGTGTGCGAAGTTTACACCGGTGTCAAACAGCAGTTTGAAATGGAATGAAACCCATCGACGGCACACTATCCAAATCAAGACTCGAACGTGTCCTACCCACCCCCCCCCCCCCCCCCCCCCTGAGTCTGGTGGTTTTAGTCCGGATGCTGCGGTACCGCCTGCCAGACGGCAGCAGACAGAACAGTTTGTGGCTGGGGTGATGGGGGTCTTTTATAATCCTGAGGGCTTTCTTTAAGGTTAACCTGGTATTTTTACTACATTTATTTTAGTTACTTTACAGATTTGGATTAATGATGTGAAATATAAACAACCCTTACATCAGACTTTAGTTACACCTGAGTAAAATTCAGTGAAGGTGATTGTCAAACAATCAGGCGAGATATTTGGTAGTGGGTGCTTGAGAAGACTAAAAATGTATCTGCAGATCCCTATAAAGCATATTCATTACTCGTTATTCTCTAATTGTTCATCAAAAACTGTATATAATGGCTATTTTGCACATCCCTTTCAAGATTTCAAGATTTTCAAAGGTTTATTGAAATATCATATACACAACTACGGTGTAGTTATGCAATGATGACAAACTTGGGTCATAGGTTCCTCAACAAGAGATCTATCAATATGTGTGTACCTCCACCATTAAACTGTCATATTCTACACATTTCTTATTCTATCTACATACATCTTATAAGAGTATAATAAATATGTATAATATCGGTTAAAATAAGTGCTTCAACATAGGAAAGTTGATTGTCAAGTCCCAAAACAAACCATGCAATATATTAAACGTTAAGTACTTTGTCAGGCTTAATATAGATACCCCCAAAGCTTTTTGCTTACATGTATTTAAAAGAAGACCTTAACCTAAAGTATTATTTAATGTTTAAATATAGCCTAATTAGTTTGTCTGTTTTGCACATCCTCCTATTAATATCTTTGTACATCCGGCACTAAACTGTTTTATTCTAGATATCATTTACAGTATCTTCTTGATATTTTCTATTCTATATTTCTATCATTGACCTTCTACTTTCCTCATATTTTGTATATACTCTTAATATTTAAATGTTTTTCATAAAATATAACACATTCAAAAGTGCTTTACAAAAATGAAAGACATTAAGAAAAAGGCATTTTAAACAGTCATTAAAAAGCAACACAATCTACCTGCATTGCAATGACTCTAAACGTGTAATAACGTGCTTTAACCAGTAGGAGGTGCGGGTTAAAAAGCTGTCAAGTTTACAGTGTTAACAAAATAAAATATACTGCTGTTTCTGGTTTAGTTTACGACGGATATATTCTGTTATTGTTTTGATATTTGTAACACAAAAGCGATGTAAAAAACCCACAGCAACACAGAAAAGATGGTCTTAACATGACCCAGCGGTCTAGTAGTTGAAAGCTCTTTGCGTCCGTTTATGAAGCTGAAGGAGCCTCGGCGTGTCCCAACTGCATGTCACGGGACCCTGACCAAGCGTCGCTCCTGGACGTTTAGGGAGTGAGAGTGTGTTGCATTAACCCTGATAGAAACACATTAGCTGCTTATATAGTCTGGGTGTTTGGTGTTCAGCGAGTCAACAGTCTGTAAAGCTGCTAACACTTTTTAGTTATAGTTTTTCATAGTTACGACAAAAGGGTAAAAAGATGTTTGTATATTTGGAGAACAGGAAGGTTAACTTCCTAACTAATGTAGCATGTTTATAATATTATGTTCACTTTTTACAATTGCATTACCCTTCAACGATTATACTACATTCATTTGAGGAGATAATCCTGCTGAGTCTCATTTTCTTTATTCCAAAATCCAATGGAAAAACCCCATTGGATTTGTGTCAAGGGAGCCCTTGTGATGCTTACTTCCGGGTCATCCTACAAAAATACGCTATCACTGCACCACTCTATAGGAGGATTAACAAGTGCCCAATATTTAAATAAACATGCACCCTAAACTTGACTTAGAAAACCGCTTTAGTTTAGCATTAACTTCCAAGTTCTCTACATACCCTCAGGTGAGAATCGGTAGAGCTAATTGGATTTAAGATCAACAGTCTGTAAAGCTGCTAACACTTTTTAGTTATAGTTTAATAGAGAACTGAAAAGAACAGAACTTGAAGTTGACTATTAACTATTTAGTACAGCGGATAAGCTCTCATATTATAACAATTGTGCATTTTATGAGAAAAGCATGACATTTCTAACATAGTTAGTGCATACCATAAGGTTTATTTTCAGATGTGGAGGGAAGTCAGATTTGACCTGTGAGGACCGTGAGAGGTCAAATCCAAGATGGCCGCCAGTCTCTCGGGTCAAATGTTCAAACACGCTTAATTTTGGAACCAAACATTGTAGAAAAACATTTAAGGTGTCATATCCAGCTAAATTAGGGATGCCCAATCATTTGGTGATACTTTTGAGATTGCCAGAATTCAAGAAAATGCATTTAGGTGAAGATAAAGGTAGAAATTGACCAAAAATAAGCTGTCAATCAGTTGAAATTTGCGGTGTGTGTGTGTGTGTGTGTGTGTGTGTGTGTGTGTGTGTGTGTGTGTGTGTGTGTGTGTGTGGCAGATGGCGCAGTTATGTATTGTATTTAATTTTTGTCGAAGTATTTCACTAAAAAGCAACCTTAGCAAAACAGGAAATTATGTCAAATTCATATTTTAAGAATTAGCAAGCACCTATCTATTTTCAAACGTTTTATTTAGCTAATGTTGCAATTGTTGCAAAATTGCTACTGTATTTTTTAATGCGAAATATTGGAATATTTAGCATTTTTTTGTTGTTTACTCTCTCATGATTTTAAGTTATTTCAGGTTGAAAATATCCCGTACAACCACAAATTAAAAAGGGCTTCGGTACAGGATTAGTGTAGCATCAGTGTGGACATTTATCATGTCTCCGCTGTTATGTATGGGTTGTAGATCTTAAGAGGATGACTACAAGGGATCCAAATTAAGTTTATTATCAGAGATATTTAAGTTAATTGATTTTCTACATAAAAGGAAGGCTCCTTGCACATTTGCTTGAGCTTGAATTTAGTTCACCTTATAGTATAGTCCCTGTTCATCCCTTTATAACCATTTATTGCCACCACGACAACGAAATGGTGTGCATAATATATATTTTAAAAGTAATAATTCCAATATTATGTCCTGCTCGGATAAAACTTGTTATATCCTTAGAGTAATTTAAAATGAGTTTTGTTCTCCATACCATGGAGTCTAAATGGGTAAACCTTTGTATTTGTAATTGTACAGCCATGCTAGGACAAACAAATCCCCTTTGCCCATGTTCTCTCTGCACTCTCTGTCACACACACAACATACATAACCCTTTATTTGCATGACCTCTAACTGTCCATGTGAGTCACTAAAGAACAGAAAAAAAGCTGCGCTACCTTGGGCGTTTTATAGGTGGACAGGCAGGGAATCGAACCCCAACCCTCTATAAGTGGAAAGGGACAGCGATGAACCTTGTAGTTGACTGCAGCCCTTTGTTATAACAGCGAGGGTTAAGAGAGCTGTTTGTGCTCTACATGGAACTGTTTTCCATCTCCCTCTTTGGTTTACATTCTTTCAGCAGTTTGTCCCTCTCTAAACCTTTCTGTTCCCCATTCTTCTTTCTCCAATAAGAGGTGCATCATTATTTTTCTATTAAATATGACATTGGGGAATAAAACGCTGTTGTTTTGTTGATAGTTCCATCCATTTATACATAGTATATATAGTTCAAGCACTTAGACTTAGAGAGTTGGGCGGGGAACAAATATTATGCTCGTCACAATCATGTAAGTATGTATTTGAAGACAAAAAAAAACCAAAAACAAATGTTTTCTTCAGCATGCAGACTGTGCCAAGTAAAGCCATATTCCTCCAGTCTCTGTATTAATGCTAGCGCTGGGTGACCATAAATCCACTGGAATATACTATACCACATCACACACACACACACACACACACACACACACACACACACACACACACACACACACACACACACACACACACACATTTAGCAAATTTCAACTGATTGACAGCTTATTTTTGGTCAATTTCTACCTTTATCTTCACCTAAATTCATTTTCTTGAATTCTGGCGATCTCAAAAGTATCACCAAATGATTGGGCATCCCTAATTTAGTTGGATATGACACGTTAAATGTTTTTCT